ATATATTATATATCATATATTATATATTATATATTATATATTATATATTATATATTTTATATTATATATATTATATTATATATTATTATATTATATATATTTTTTATATATTATATATTATATATTATATTTTTATATATAATATATATATATTATATTATATAATATATATAATATACTTTATATTATATATTGTATATTATATATTAGATATTATATATTTTATTTTGTATAATATATATATATATTATATTTTATATATAATATACTTTATATTATATATTGTATATTATATATTTTATATTATATATTATATATTATATATTTTATTTTATATTATATATTATATATTATATATTTTATTTTATATAATATATATTATATATTATATATTATATATTTTTTAATGTATTATATTATATGTATTTGGGTTGATCATAATCCACCGTAATTTCTTTGCAATCCTTTTCCACGAATTCTGGGGATTGCACCACAAAGTTGCATTATTGGGATATTCTGGGGATTTTCTCGGAAGGTGCTGCGACAGCCTCGCCTGTCCTTGCGGCAGCGGCTACTGGGTTTCCTTCATGTGGGACCTGTGTCTGGAAAGTGCGGGGGCCTGGAGATGCCATGGAGTTGGAACCAGTAGCTGGTGATGTGGTAACGTGGGGATGGTTTGTGGCGGTTTACTACATGATTTGACATAAGTGCCACTGGAGCCATGTTTGGGCAGATCTTCTATTTTCCGAGATTGGTTTAAGCGAATTTTTGCAGGTTTCACCCCTCTACTTGGGTGGACAGTACATGATTTCTTGCAGATTTGGGGCAAAACCCAATCCATTGAATTTTGGATCCATTGGTTAAACGCCAGTTAGGGCAATGAGGGATAAGTATAAACGCATTTAGACGTGGCATGGGCCTGACCATCTATGTCTCATCCATTTGTTCAAACAGGATTTTCCATTCTAAACCATCCAGCTATTTGGGTATCCCCGGGTATGTACCCCCATGACTTACGAATCCCCCAAATGTGGAGTGACTTGTCCCTCGAACTCTCAGGCTCTTCATGCTTCTGGTGGCCTTGGATACTTTGCTCTATTGGTTGCTGGAATGGCTCCAACCAGCTTCGGAGGTGGCTGACTGCTTTGGAGTTGTTTGGCGAGTTTGATGTTGAAGTTGGATGCTAGCTAAGTCGATGAAGTCTAAGTAACTATGGGATACAATGTATTTGCTCTGCACAAACACTGTCATTCTTATGGTTGGATTAAAATTTGACTCCAACGCAGGTCCAGATGGCCTGGGATGCGCCACCCTGGAGATCCAAAGACCAAGGTGGCAATGTCGTGGAACTATGAAATGAAACGCCAAAGAAACCCCGGAATTGAGTTGATATTCCCACAGGAGATGGTCATCAGGTCATCCCGGTCATCCTCCTCCAAAAAACCTATTCTAAATCTCATGACTGCAATGTGGAGGGTTCCAGATCCTGGCAGGTGGCTTGGCAGGTTCCAGTGCAGAGACAGCTGGCTTCCGGGAGAAAAAGATGCCTCCGCCAGGGATTCGGATCATTGGATTTGCGTTGGCATAGTGAAAGGAGCAGCGGACCAACGTCTTGACAAACACATGTCGACTGACAGTCTTGACAAAATGTCGAAGTGGATTTGCAATTCATATCCAGTTCCACACATTCATAAGATTTCATAAGTGTTTTCGAATGCAAATCCAATATCCACTTGATCAACGATGACCACTTAATGCACCAAAATGTCGGTCAGATCTCCCTTGGAAGCTGACGATGGTGCAGGTTTCGCACCTCTTACTGGCGGGTGGCGCGGATGCGCTTGGATTTGCGGATGGAGATCTTTCCAAAGGCTGGATGAAAGCTGCGTGATTCCGTGATCCAGATCAAGAATCTGTTCCTTCCATGGTGCTTCTGGTGTAGGTAGGGCCACTATGATAGTTGTAATATCTGAGTAAAGGAAGAAGATCTTGGAATGTTGAACTTTCAAACTGCATTTTTTAGAAAAGTTTTGTTTTTCATTATTTGAAGAAGATGATTTTAAGGTCTTTAGGTGTTGTCCTTTTTAGCGAAACCCTGTTTCGATAGGATGTCATGAATGCCTTTGCCGACGAGCAGACAGTTTGGGCTTATGCCATTCCAGATCGCCAATGGATCCCAATGCCCGACAGGCAGCTTCTGATAGGTTTGCGCTGCTTGAGGGGTATCCCCCTGAAGGCACCTGTATTGCGAGTGATATGGTGTGTGCGCGTTTCATACATGTATTGGACAGGGGTCCTCAGTGACATCAAATCTGTTGGTTGCAACTTTCAACTGTCCTGTGAGATGGTCGAAGGACGGTCATCCTGACAGATGACTTAAGCATTATATAGTTCCTTCTAGATGAAGTCGCTGAAACTCACGAATCTTTCTTTCTCTTCAAACCTTGCGAGGTTTGCCATTGGCCCATCACACTTGATGCTGGAGGTGTACTTCTCAACCTACAGTTGGTTCCTTTGCGAATTCGCGGCGCTGGGGTACTGGGTTCCATACAGATGGCGATGGCAGCACAGCTGGCACTTGCAAGTGACTGAACAGTTTCAAACACGTCAGTCCGTTGATGATTATAGGGTACCAATGGATACCATTTCTATTTGTTGATGATTTGTTGATGATTTGTTGATGTAACATGCTATATTATCATACAGTAATTTTGCAGAACCAACTGGGAATCCCTATATACTATATACTATTATATACTACCATTTCTTAACAGACCATTAGGTCGACTGCTCAGGATGCTTGACATGCAGAGCTGGAGGCACTATGACCCTGCAGTGGTACACGTCGCTGAGACTGCAAAGAGGCAGCTTCTCCAAACGGAAGTGAATTAACACATCCACATGGAAAATCCATGAACATCCATCATCATGCCACTGTTTTGCGATCTCATGGTCAATATCAAGGGCTTCAGGAAGATTCCATTCGGATGAAACACCCAACAACTGGTGTGGAACTGTTGCATTTCGTGCCCATTGATCTGCTTAGTGCCCTCCAGCAGCACATTTTTCCCCAAAGTTTGATCATCGGCAGCATGATGCACAATTTCTGCAAGTCAGTCTATGTGAGAAGTGAGAACTCCTTAATTATATAGATGTTATAGCTATTTTCTATGTATCTCCTCAATATATACCAATTTCGCCAGTGTCTCAGTGGTAGCTGTTTTTCAGCCATTCTTCAACTTCCAGAGATTGGGGCGACTCAGCTAAGGCATGTCAGAGGCGTGGGCACATGTGGCTCCACGATGGGCGAATCCGATCTGTGGGGAAGATTTGGCCGTGCCCAGAGCACTCTGCGAGAGGCTTCGCCTATCAAGGACGCCCCGGTGTCAGCTGCGTGAGTCTGTGTGAGGAGGGGGCAACTCAAAGGAAGTCAGAATTAGGTTTAGATGACAATCCATCAAAGCAGACTTTATAGTTTCTATAAAGCTATTACTCAAAGTGATTGAGAATTAAAACATATTAAACCCACAATCCACCGCATTGTTTTTATCGTTTTCATCGGTCGTGGCGATTCGCCATTCGCCTCATGGCGCCGCTTGACGTAGCACGTCGATGCACGTCGCAGGACCGGAAAACGTCTTGGAAGCGCGACTCTTTACGTACAAGGCGTGGGCCTCGCTGACAGTTTGTTGCTCTCTCTCTCTGTCTATATGATTATATACAAGACTTACACATATGAAATCAATTGAACTCTTATATACATATATATATACAGAACACATATATATATATATATTATATGTGTATATCTTGTATATTCGGAAACATTTAAATAACCCTTTCTGTTTGTAGTGCAAACAAATATGAGCATGGGCAGACAACAGTCTGAATAAATCAGTTATATGTAAGACATAGTTTCATGATCCCATACCTGTTTCAGATGTCGGAAGTGCGCAAAAACACTTGCACAGGCCTCCATCAACTTCCGCCTGCGGCAGGACATTTGCTTCAATCAGTGCCTTGGGGTAAAACTGGTGCCTGGTTTGTGCAGGGATTCATATGCAATTTTCATACATTTTCCCCATTTGTTAGGTGTCAATGGGTGTCATATGTTTAAGGCAAGCTTTTGGATATTCTTCTGTTTTTTGTGGACAGTGACATTGCATGGTGAAAGGCGTTAGGCGTTATAGTAATTCCCCCACGAAGAGGTGATGCTTACGCAAGAAAATCAAGAAGCCTGGTGTTCATGCTTTCTTGTCAAGGCAGGCTCACATTTATACATGTCATGACATATCCATGTTCCGAATGTCTGGATTGGAAACCCCGAGGTTTGCGAAGCAGCTTGGTAGGACTGGGCTGTTTCACAAGTGTCAGTGCATCCTGGCTCTCGCCCTGTTGTGAGCATCCACAACCGACAGGATCTTGGATTCCGCCTGCGAGCAAAGACCGGAGCGACATCCTCACGGCTATTGGATGACCGACATGAAGCCCGAGCTTGTTGAGAATTACATTAGTCGTCAGGCAGGGAATACTTGGAGGATCATCCCACTTAACACGTGGTTAATAGCCATAGTTATAAAATCCAAATGTATATATATATATACAACATATAGATGGGATAACCTAATTTATTAGGGGACTTACTAACCAGGGTTATTATGGGAGAAACTCCTGTGGCAGGTCACTGCTGGTAGTGAGAAACTCGAAACGCGTTCCTTGGCAGACTTCATCCATGCAGCTCTCGCGGTGCGTTGCGGTGGACACAGAACATGATGGTGGTGCATGAGCAGTGGCTACATAACCGCTGTTGGTTGATGATTGTAAGGGGATCATACTAAATACCCAACATTGGGGATTATCAAAGCAAAATATGGGTCTCCCAATGATCCAGACAATATAAAGGGACGACAGTTGGCTTTGAACACTGCTCCACGGTGTCTCAAGACTCTTGGGACAGCTCTCCTCTTTCAAAATCAACATCGACTGGAACTGCTTTGTGCGGGACTGTGGTTTGATTGATTTCAGGTGCAAATGAACTCATGATCGCAGTGGTATCATGTTGAGGCTTATTACCCTATGACGCTCACTTCACTGCGCGATTGGCAGAGTTTCTGCTTGAGCAGTGGGGCGAGGCATGAGCAAATGAGGGTTATGTGGGATGCAACACAGTCAAGCCAGACCACTCTGGACTCTGGACAGTTTTGGGACGTTTGGGTTGAACTAGGTTTGATCGCCAACAATTCGACGAAACGACTCGGAACGGAAGGCATCAACACAATATCAAACACTTGAAACAGGACCAATCCGGCCATTTTTTTTTTTTTTTCATTTTTTGGTACTTGCCGAACCTGTCACTTCTCCAGGGTCCAATTCGCAGGCCCAGCGACCCCCGAAGACGTTGCACCTGGGTGCTGGGCGCGGAGCGATGGCGGAGCGATGGATCGGTGGTTGATTTCGCTGTTCTTGGGGGCCCCCAGGGCCCCACGATAGCACGACCACGGAATGTATAGGAAACCATCAGGAAACCATTTTGGGATCAAGGATTTGGGAGGAATTTTGAAGAATTTTGAGTACATTTGTTTGATACCAACTGCCGTTTGAGTGCGATGTTTGACACATATCATACATGTTGCAGGCCTAAAATCTGTGGCATGACATGGGTTAAATCTCATTTTGATGGACAGATTCTAGTTGCCAGACCGCAAAGTCCTTACCCTAGTGAGAGCTTTGACAAAAAAGACAATCTGCCTGAGTTTGATTCAACATGATTCAACAAAAGTCCATGAATAATGATTCCATTTCTTCATTGATGGACCAAGGTTGGATCAGAATGGGCATTTTTGAACACTTTCTACCAATTTTTACTGACCATCTAGTACTGGAAATGACTTTGTGCAAGCTTTGTCGTAAAAAGTAGTACTGGGAAGTGCTTTGTGCAAGCTTTGTAGTACAAAGTAGTACTGGAACGTGCTTTGTGCAAGCTTTGTAGTACAAAGTAGTACTGGGAAGTGCTTTGTGCAAGCTTTCTAGTAAAAAGTAGTGCTGGGAAGTAGTTTGTGCAAGCTTTGTAGTACAAAGTAGTACTGGGAAGTGCTTTGTGCAAGCTTTGTAGTACAAAGTAGTACTGGGAAGTAGTGTGTACAAGCTTTGTAGTACAAAGTAGTACTGGGAAGTGCTTTGTGCAAGCTTTGTAGTACAAAGTAGTGCTGGGAAGTGCTTTGTGCAAGCTTTGTAGTGCAAAGTAGTACTGGGAAGTGCTTTGTGCAAGCTTTGTAGTACAAAGTAGTACTGGGAAGGACTTTGTGCAAGCTTTGTAGTACGTAAAGTAGTACTGGGAAGTGCTTTGTGCGAGCTTTGTAGTACAAAGTAGTACTGGGAAGTGCTTTGCGCAAGCATTGTAGTGGTGCAAAGTAGTACTGGGAAGTGACCCAGAGAATAGAAAAATAATGATGCTGAATCCCAGCGTTGACATGCAGGTTGCACACGAGAATGACATTATAAGAGAGTAGAAAATCAATATTTTCATCCATCGCGTTCCATTGTGTTTCATTTGTTTTTCATGTCTAAAATGCATGGTTACACGTTTATTGAGGACTGCGTTCCATGCAGAAAAGCATTTAGGCATGACTTAGGCATGACTTCTTGGATACAGCGTTTACAATGGTAAATGCCATTCAAAAACATGCTAGGCAGGACTTAGGCGTGACATTGTCGCTTCCCTGTATACCATGGTATGCCCCATATTTTCTCAATGGTTCATTATCATTGAACGACAATTCTAGGGTCATTTTACCATATGTTCCCTGTTTTTTTTTCCATGGTTTCCGGGACACGATCCGATCGTGGTGCTGCAAATTCATTCAGGAGCAGCTGAGCCGCTGGGGCTTGCCGGTGACGTCGGTGGATGGTACCTGGTGGCAACATGTGGCAACCTAAAAATTGGCTTTATGGCCTGGTTGGTGGTTTGGAACCATCCATATATTGGGATGGTGGATGGTAAATGGTAAATATATGGAAATACCTGGTGGATGGTAATATAATGTAATATATTGGTACCATCCACCAGGAATTTTGAATGACTTTCCATTCAGTTGGGAATGGAAAATCATCCCAACTGACGAAGTCATATTTTTCGGAGGGGTTGACTTTTTTGCCAAGGACTTGACTTTTTTGCTACCGACATTCAAATTATTCTGATGACAGAGCACCAAAAAAGATTGCTTCAGTTGTTTGGATCTTCCCCTCAGCGGCTTTCACAGCAATCGGCATAGGGAGAAACTGGGGAGATCCAAACCCCAGCCAGATATGTCCAGATATGTCCAGATTCCGCCCAGCAGGCAACTGCTTGGTGCTGGCACTTTCCTCGGGCCTTTGCTTAGATATTTTGGCTGATAGCTGGCAAGATGCTTGTGAGGCAGGAATGGCTTTGCAGCAACTGGATGTTATTGGCGTTGCTGATTTCAAAGGAAATATAGGAAATGGGCTGTTGGTTTCTCATCCGCTCATCCCATATGTTCTCGCAGGCAGCCGCAGAACGAGGCTTTTGCAGATGGTTGGATGGATATAAAGGGTCTGACTGGGTCCTAGCCGCTTGGACTGATAAGCTCAGTGTAGCAATTCGACTTTTTGAATTCCAATGGCTTGTAGCATTTTGGGATAGGCAGACAGGTCTGGAATAGTCTTTTAATCAGAATATCATATCAATATCTATCAATCTATCCAATCTAATCCAATCCAATCCAATCTAGTCTATTCTATCTAATCTAATCTAATCTATATAGTCTCAATCTACTCTAAGTCCAAATCTACTCCAACCTAATCAAATCCAATTGAATCTAAATCTAATCTAAATCCAACCCAAATACAATCTATCTACATCGAATTAAAACCTAATCTAAATCTACTCTAAGTCTCTTCTAAATCTGATCCGAATCTCATCCAATCTTCAGATCTAAATCCAAATCTGAATCTAATTTGAATTCTAAACGTAAATCTACATCTAAATCATTCTAAATATATGTCTAAATCTAATCTATAGATCTAAATCCAAATCTTAACCTTAATATCGAAACTTAAATCCCAATCCAATCCAAATCAACACCTAAATCATCTAATCTCCAGCTAAATCAAAGTCTAAACCAAGCTGGATCCACCGGAACCAAGGCCCTGAACTTGATCAGAGACATTCCTCGACAGCTGATCTCCAGGTTGGCCACACGCCTGGCTTCTGGCCACACCATCGTCATCAGTTGGGTTTCAGCGAGGAACGCCTCTGAGTCGGGTCTTTGGGAAAGCTTTGGGGCTGAGATGTGATGTCATCATTGAGATGTGGGGATGGGTCAAAACCCTGGTACCTAGTGAACCCCAAAATAGCTGGTAAATGGATGTTCATCCCACTAAAAATGTATCTATAGGTATTGACCCATACCCATGTAGTGACAATGTAGTGGCTTCGTTTTTTTTTTGTCAGTTGAAGCCTAGAATTTTTGTTGAGTTGATGGAATTCATGGCGGCATGTGCAGGAGATTGGATCACCTAAAGATGCGAGACCTTCTTCGACATCTCCATCACCAAGGACACGATTGCTGCGGGGCCATACCTTGTGGTTATAAAACTAGAAAAAAACATGTGTGGCTGGAATTTTCAAACATTGACATGTTGGGACCTATCTTTAAAAGTGATGCAGTGCTTTCAAGTACGAGCTTTATTTTTTGCGGAAACTATAGGATCGAAGCGCTGTTCCCTTCCTCCCTACATGTGCAAAATGCATCCAAAATGCAAAGTCTCTACAATTGGGTGATCTTGGCATTTCCACATCCGCAATTTCGCAATCTTACGGCTGCACTCATTGTATCCTTCGGATTTCCACCGTTGGTTCGTGTGTCTGAAATATGGAATCCCCCCATTTCATGGCCATTTGGGTCTGACAAATAGGCGAATCATCATTGCATCCATTGGTGAATCATCGGTCTTCCCTTTTCATATTTTAATAGCCATCAATTGTGAGACAGTCCAAATTTATCCAAATATCATCAAATATCATATCAAGTTGGTTATACAATGTTATACATGTATAATCATGTATAATCATGTACATATGTATATGACATATGGTATATGAGTATATCCCAGTGTATCACCATATCCCCACTTTTCAGATTTCAGACACGTCCATTCAATAGGGAAGGGCTGATGATCCAATGGCCACCTGATGGCGGCAGGTTACCTGGCTGATCGTCGCGTCAGTCGAGAGCTGCGGCTCTTTGGAGGGCTGCTATGCTGCCCATGGAACCAGAACACCTTGGTTCTCAAGAAGCACAGGCCATGGAACATCCATTGAAAATCATGGAGCATCCCTATGAATTTTTGTGAGAATCCATTGGAATGGAGGTGAATGGGGGTCTTTTGCATAGAATGGTGGGCAGCAGACTTGTTTGTTGCTAGTGGAGTCATGCCCTTTCTGTTGCAAAAAGATAGCACACGCATTCAAGAGATTTCAAGAGTCTAAGCGCATTTTGAATCCACATGTGAGGCCCTTGCGGACTTGCCATGCGCGATTACTAGAACAACTCCCAGAAAGCCAGCCGTGTGTTTTGCAGCAGACACTTGACGATTGGGATCGCCGGGGCACCCCAAAATCCTATGACTTACCGCCCAGCACTGAGGAACTACGGCTGCATACCCGGTGGAATCTGGGCCTCTTGACGTTGGTTCAAAAATGAATTGTCACATCATGTCATTTTAATAGGGAAAGCGATAAACCGTAGGTTTTGGTTGAAAGTGATACTATCATAGTTTTGGGATGTTTGGGTTTCCAGAAAAACCAACATGACCTATGTGCTTTGGACGAAGAATTTGATTCCGCTGATGTTCACGGTGGTTTCTCGGACGTTCAGGTGCATTTCGGTTGCCGTGGTCGCTTCAGCATCCCGAACTGCCGGGATAAGAGCAACACCATCTGCGAGAGCATGAACGAGGACTACGTCGAATGTTTTGCCTGCGAAAAAAGCCGCCCGGAGCCACAGCGGAAAACATCGGAAAAGCCATGGCCAGGGATAGCCAGGGCCCCGAAACCCAAACGAAAAAACTAAAATCAATGCGGCTGCACTTCAAGATCTTCATTATATTTTTATAAATGGGCTAACGCCCTGGTGCCGCCGACCCCCATTTGGAGGGCCATGGTTATCCGATGTTATGCGATGTTATCCCACATGTTTCCATATTTGTCATGTTTGTCCATGATTTTCACCAGGATTTTGGGTAACTCACCAGAGCAACCACCTATACGTATCATCACCTTGTTCCCTTGCAGAGGGCTGGTAAATCCTGAGCATGACCCATGGAAGAGCCGGCCGAAGACGGTAAAGCGGGACTGATTCGCGGTGACTTGGGCAGCGGCAAAGCGGTAAAGGCCCACAGACGGGGTTTGTGTCGTGATGGGCCGTGCTTCGCGCACGTTTTGAAACCCTCTAAATGGAGTATGGCGACTGGCCAGGCGCTGGCAAAGGACTGCTGCTGCAGGGCAACGTGTTCGCGGTGACCTGGGAAGGCAGTGGCAAAGCGGTAAAGGCCCACAGAGGGGGTTTGTGTCGTGATGGGCCGTGCTTCGCGCACGTTTTGAAACCCTCTAAATGGAGTATGGCGACTGGCCAGGCGCTGGCAAAGGACTGCTGCTGCAGGGCAACGTGTTCGCTGTGACCTGGGAAGGCAGTGGCAAAGCGGTAAAGGCCCACAAAGGGGTTTTGTGTCGTGATGGGCCGTGCTTCGCGCACGTTTTGAAACCCTCTAAATGGAGTATGGCGACTGTCCAGGCGCTGGCAAAGGACTGCTGCAGGGCAACGTGTTCGCAGTGACTTGGGAAAGCAGTGGCAAAGCGGTAAAGGCCCACAGAGGTTTTGTGCCGTGATGGGCCGTGCTTCGCGCACGTCGCACGTTTTGAAACCCTCTAAATGGAGTATGGCGACTGGCCAGGCGCTGGCAAAGGCTTGCCGCTGCAGGGCAACGTGTTCGCTGTGACCTGGGAAGGCAGTGGCAAAGCGGTAAAGGCCCACAGAGGGGTTTTGTGTCGTGATGGGCCGTGCTTCGCGCACGTTTTGAAACCCTCTAAATGGAGTATGGCGACTGGCCAGGCGCTGGCAAAGGACTGCTGCAGGGCAACGTGTTCGCAGTGACTTGGGAAAGCAGTGGCAAAGCGGTAAAGGCCCACAGAGGGGGTTTTGTGTCGTGATGGGCCGTGCTTCGCGCGCACGTTTTGGGACCCTCTAAATGGAGTATGGCGACTGGCCAGGCGCTGGCAAAGGACTGCCGCTGCAGGGCAACGTGTTTGCGGTGACTGGGAAGGCAGTGGCAAAGCGGTAAAGGCCTACAGAGGGGTTTTGTGTCGTGATGGGCCGTGCTTCGCGCACGTTTTGAAACCCTCTAAATGGAGTATGGCGACTGGCCAGGCGCTGGCAAAGGACTGCTGCAGGGCAACGTGTTCGCGGTGACCTGGGAAGGCAGTGGCAAAGCGGTAAAGGCCCACAGACGGGGTTTGTGTCGTGATGGGCCGTGCTTCACGCACGTCGCACGTTTTGAAACCCTCTAAATGGAGTATGGCGACTGGCCAGGCGCTGGCAAAGGCCTGCCGCTGCAGGGCAACGTGTTTGCGGTGACCTGGGAAGGCAGTGGCAAAGCGGTAAAGGCCCACAGACGGGGTTTGTGTCGTGATGGGCCGTGCTTCGGTTTTGAAACCCTCTGGATGGAGTATGGCGACTGGCCAGGCGCTGGCAAAGGCCTGCCGCTGCAGGGCAACGTGTTCGCGGTGACCTGGGAAGGCAGTGGCAAAGCGGTAAAGGCCCACAGAGGGGTTTTGTGTCCTGATGGACCGTGCTTCGCGCACGTTTTGAAACCCTCTAAATGGAGTATGGCGACATGGCCAGGCGCTGGCAAAGGGCTGCCGCTGCAGGGCAACGTGTTTGCGGTGACCTGATAAGGCAGTGGCAAAGCGGTAAAGGCCCACAGAGGGGTTTTGTGTCGTGATGGGCCGTGCTTCGCGCACGTTTTGAAACCCTCTAAATGGAGTATGGCGACTGGCCAGGCGCTGGCAAAGGACTGCTGCTGCAGGGCAACGTGTTCGCAGTGACTTGGGAAAGCAGTGGCAAAGCGGTAAAGGCCCACAGAGGGGTTTTGTGTCGTGATGGGCCGTGCTTCGCGCACGTTTTGAAACCCTCTAAATGGAGTATGGCGACTGGCCAGGCGCTGGCAAAGGCCTGCCACTGCATTGCAACGTGTTCGCAGTGACTTGGGAAAGCAGTGGCAAAGCGGTAAAGGCCCACAGAGGGGTTTTGTGTCGTGATGGGCCGTGCTTCGCGCACGTTTTGAAACCCTCTAAATGGAGTATGGCGACTGGCCAGGCGCTGGCAAAGGACTGCCGCTGCAGGGCAACGTGTTTGCGGTGACCTGGGAAGGCAGTGGCAAAGCGGTAAAGGCCCACAGACGGGTTTTGTGTCGTGATGGGCCCTAGCCTGCGGCGCACGTCGGACTTTTTGAAACCCTCTAAATGGAGTATGGCGACTGGCCAGGCGCCGGCAAAGGGCTGCCGCTGCAGGGCAACGTGTTCGCGGTGACCTGGGAAGGCAGTGGCGAAGCGGTAAAGGCCCAGAAGGGGTTTTGTGTCGTGATGGGCCATGCTTCGCGCACGTTTTGAAACCCTCTAAATGGAGTATGGCGACTGGCCAGGCGCTGGCAAAGGACTGCTGCTGCAGGGCAACGTGTTCGCGGTGACCTGGGAAGGCAGTGGCAAAGCGGTAAAGGCCCACAGACGGGTTTTGTGTCGTGATGGGCCGTGCTTCGCGCACGTTTTGAAACCCTCTAAATGGAGTATGGCGACTGGCCAGGCGCTGGCAAAGGACTGCTGCTGCAGGGCAACGTGTTCGCGGTGACCTGGGAAGGCAGTGGCAAAGCGGTAAAGGCCCACAGAGGGGTTTTGTGTCCTGATGGACAGTGCTTCGCGCACGTTTTGAAACCCTCTAAATGGATTATGGCGACATGGCCGGTGACCTGCGAAGGCAGTGGCAAAGCGGTAAAGGCCCACACGGGGGTTTTGTGTCCTGATGGCCCGTGCTTCGCGCAGGTTGTGAAACCCTCTAAATGGATGGAGTGGAGTATGGCATTCTGGCGACATGGCCAAGCGCTGGCAAAGGGCTGCCGCTGCAGGGCAACGTGTTTGCGGTGACCTGGGAAGGCAGTGGCAAAGCGGTAAAGGCCCACAGACGGGGTTTGTGTCGTGATGGGCCGTGCTTCGCGCACGTCGCACGTTTTGAAACTCTCTGGATGGAGTATGGCAACTGGCCAGGCGCTGGCAAAGGCCTGCCGCTGCAGGGCAACGTGTTTGCGGTGACCTGGGAAGGCAGTGGCAAAGCGGTAAAGGCCCACAGACGGGTTTTGTGTCGTGATGGGCCGTGCTTAGCGCACGTTTTGAAACCCTCTAAATGGAGTATGGCGACATGGCCAGGCGCTGGCAAAGGGCTGCTGCTGCAGGGCAACGTGTTCGCGGTGACCTGGGAAGGCAGTGGCAAAGCGGTAAAGGCCCACAGAGGGGTTTTGTGTCGTGATGGGCCGTGCTTCGCGCAGGTTTTGAAACCCTCTAAATGGAGTATGGCGACTTGCCAGGCGCTGGCAAAGGACTGCTGCTGCAGGGCAACGTGTTCGCGGTGACCTGGGAAGGCAGTGGCAAAGCGGTAAAGGCCCACAGAGGGGTTTTGTGTCCTGATGGACAGTGCTTCGCGCACGTTTTGAAACCCTCTAAATGGATTATGGCGACATGGCCGGTGACCTGCGAAGGCAGTGGCAAAGCGGTAAAGGCCCACACGGGGGTTTTGTGTCCTGATGGCCCGTGCTTCGCGCAGGTTGTGAAACCCTCTAAATGGATGGAGTGGAGTATGGCATTCTGGCGACATGGCCAAGCGCTGGCAAAGGGCTGCCGCTGCAGGGCAACGTGTTTGCGGTGACCTGGGAAGGCAGTGGCAAAGCGGTAAAGGCCCACAGACGGGGTTTGTGTCGTGATGGGCCGTGCTTCGCGCACGTCGCACGTTTTGAAACCCTCTAAATGGAGTATGGCGACTGGCCAGGCGCTGGCAAAGGCCTGCCGCTGCAGGGCAACGTGTTTGGGGTGACCAAAGCGGTAAAGGCCCACAGACGGGGTTTTGTGTCGTGATGGGCCGTGCTTCGCGCAGGTTGTGAAACCCTCTAAATGGAGTATGGCGACTTGCCAGGCGCTGGCAAAGGACTGCCGCTGCAGGGTAACGTGTTCGCGGTGACTTGGGAAGGCAGTGGCAAAGGGTTTGGTGTCTGGTGGACCATGCAGGCCCAGGTCCTGGCAGGCCAAAGCCGCACACCTGCGGTGATCCCGGGCGCCGCCCCGCCTGGGCCAAGGCTAGGCAGGGGTCGGCGGATTTGGGAATGATCGATCAAATTAGTCTATATAATATTGATAAACTGTGTGATTAATAGATCCACATATGGCATACAGTACCCCGTTTCGTCCACTAGTTAATCATATTTACTCGTCGTCCAATTTTCTCCATTAAGATGGAAATACCTGGGAGGGTATACCTAGAGTTCAGACAAACCCAGTAGTACGGATGATTGATATACCCATATTATATATCAATATATATCACCTATCCTAATTTTCCATGGTTAAACCTTTAAATCCCAAAATTCATATTGTTGGCAACATTATTTCGCATTCTTTCCCGCTATATCCCAATAATATCCCCAGAACATCCGCATTGGTTGGTTTAAATCCCACTTAACATCACATGGTTGGTTATATCTCCCATTATTTCTCATCTAAATCCCAATATCCACATTTTACGAAAGCGTATGTATGTATGTCTATATATATATACATATGTACATGTATATCACCCACACACATATATATATATACATATAGCATACATGTCATATCCCATTTTTTGTATCCCCATATTGGACCTTCCCCAAGGCCTCAAAGAGGCGCGGCCTGCCGTGCCGCGGGCGGCCCACCAAGCGGTGGCCTTGGTGGGCCGCACGCAGCGCTCGGATGTCTTGCTGACGCAACCAGAGGCAGGACAGGATGAGAAACACAAGGGTATGTCTGAAAATAATGTACCCCATTTACCCAATGGTTTTGCTGATCATTATCCCTATTAAATGGCTATAATTGGGATATACCCTATTTTCAGACAAACCCACAAGATGTGGATTTAACCTCTGGTGAACTAACATAGCAATGGAAAATGGCCATAGAAATAGTGGATTTTCCCATTAATAGCATGGTGATTTTCAATAGCTATGTTAAATTACCAGAGGGTAACCTGATTTAAAATTTGGAAAAAAATTGGATTTGAAGATGACTTCAACTATATTTGAAGTGTATTGAACTATTCCTAAGTCTATTTCGACTAAAAATTTGACTATTACCTCATAAAGAAATCGGGATTTCCTCATATTTCGACCATCAAACATAGGGATTCGACCCATCGATTTTCACGGATTTGAGTTTGTTCAAGAGCATTGAATCACCATTGAATGGTCATGAAGGAACTTGAGAAAATAAGGTCTTGAATGGTCATGGGATTTTCGGATACACAGTTTTTGGACGAACCTATCATGTCAGAGGAATGAGATGTGGAAACCAGACTGGATCTTGCCCTGACCCATCTGTATACAGCGAAGCTACCAGTATCACACTCAAATTTCACAAGGGACTTGATGAACACGTTGTTTCCACATGTTTCCATTTTTAAAAGGTACATGTCTTATATCGATTCCTCCCAGCAGTGTCCTCTGTCATATGGGTATGGGTCAATACCTATAGATACATTTTTAGGGGGATGAACATCCATAAATCCCAGCTATTTTGATGTGAACTACAGGGGTACAAGGTTTTGACACACTGCCATATCTTGGCAGAGGCGGTGTCTATGAACTCCAGCTACTTCGCACAGCTCTTTGGGCTCCCCATCCCCTGGCTCTACGATGCCATGGATCCCTTGACTTCTGCGCCAGGCACGGGAACAAGCGAAGCTGTAAGCTGTCGTCATTCTCGGACACAGCCATATATTATACGAGCTACATGTTGAAATCTTGGGAATTGGATTCTATGTGTATATATATATATGTATATGTATATATGTATACCCATGATATATATATATATACACATACATACAGATATTTGGAGTCAGGCAATGTAAGACTGTAAGAATTGTGTTCCGGCCGCTTAAGGCTTCATTCCCAAATTGTGAGGGTGCTGACAAGAGAATTGCACGGTGCTTCATAGTGATTGCGAGATGTTTGACGATGTTTCATTTTTCAATGCATAGTACTCACTGTCATCCAATCTGTTGCATTGCGGTGGTATCTTGGCCAATAGAAACACACAATGCAGGCCTTTGGGAAGACCGAAGATCGATGGTGCTGCTGCTGCGCGCAGTGAAGCTGGCTGTGTTAGGTTGCATGGCAGTTAGAGTAGTTGGGGCGAGCGAAATTATAGGATTCAGAGGACTGACAGGAAAGCTGGAAAGGACATGACACAACATGACTCTGAACCAGTTTGCACACCCAATCTGCAGTGGCTGAGGACAACTGGGTCGTGCCGCAGTGTGGCAGGAATGGCGCAGCTTCGCTTCCGTGCTACGAGGCACCGGGGGCATCTCCTGAAAAGAGGAAACCGCAGCTGTCAGCCGCGGGTATCAGTTCAATGTGGTAGACCTGATCGTGAACCATCCCCAAGCTTTCTGCTTCTTTTTAAAGATATTTAAAGATGGGTTTACCGCCCTTTACCAACGTACTGACCAACTCAGATAACTCAGATTCTGCCTGGAAAAACTCATCCCAAAGCCAAGTCCTAAAAAAGTCCTTTTGGAGCGATGCCCAAGGCTGCGCACATCCTTTGGTGAAGAGATTGCTTGAAGTTCTTTCGCCTTCAGTGGCTTGGCGATGGACCGTGTCACATTGAGGCAGTCTAGAACTGTACTGATTTCTTCATTTCTACTGTATGAATCTGTATAATTTGAAGGCTTCTTTCACCAGTCGCAGGGCTCAGTTTGCATGATAGTCTACTTAGAGTCTACTTGCAGACCGCTGACATGGCTAGCCTTCAGCGTTCTGTTAGGGAAGACTTTTTTGTCCTGAGAGAGAATGTAAGACATGTAAGGAGGGTGATATCTCGTCAAGTGCACGGCAAAGCTTTGTGTGTGTGTGTGAAACATCTGTATAGATGTAAAACTTCCGGGCTTTTCTGTTGTTGTACTTATTGCCAGGGACTTCAAAGAATTTTTGTCAAAGTCAAAGCAGGGGGACTGGAGCCGATTTGCCTGTCCAGTCCAACGAAACTATGGCATTTCGGTGGGTGGTCTGATCAACCACTTGTACCTGCATTATTTACCATTTTTGTGGCAAGGCTAAGCCAAGAACCCCAACAACAACAATGATTCTTCCTTCACGGTTGCCTCAATCTGGTATTTACGGCGGTTATTCTTTTTCGTCGACATGGCAGAGGGCTAAGCCGAGAACCCTTACAAGATTATTTATTTGGGATTTATTCTTTTTCGTCGACATGGCAGAGGGCTAAGCCGAGAACCCTAACATGGCTATTTATTGGGTGTTTTGGAATCTGGTTTTATCTACGTGCGACGTTTTCGGATGACCTTCAATTTATTCGCGATTTTCATCGAAGAGATCTACTTTAGGTCATTGTTTCTAATCGAATTGCGTGTGAGGGGATTCAGTTCCCGACGGATCGATTAAAGATCCATTCTTGTCTAGTGTGTGTGTGTGTATCTAAGGTTGATGCCCAGAATGGCAGCAGAGGCAAGATAAGTGGGTTCATATAGATTGATGCAAGTGTAATATGGCCTAAAGCTTCCACAGAGCAAGGCAGGTTGCCTGATTCTTGGCTTTATCCAGGAAATCATGTTGAAATGACTCAGAGTCAGGACAGAAGAGCAACAAGCGGGGTAGGATTTCATAACACTGGCAGTGGTTGCTCACCATGCTTTCGTGGGTGGGTTTGTCGCTCTGGAGGCCCCACCTTGACAGGAAGGCCAGCAAAATTTCACGGTGATGTTCCTTGCAACAAATGAGGACGGAGTGCTTGAAATTCGGCTTCGAGAGGCCTAACATGGCATTGAAAGAGAGGTGCAGATACCAAATCATCCAAAGTTTTGGGGCCATTCCACTATAGGAAAAAAACCATTCAGAAGGCTTGGTTTGACAACAGATTCCTATGCTGAGAACAGCTCCGCTCAGGTGTTCCAATGGCAAGGTATCAGCGTCGAAAACTGTGGCCGCCTTCGGTTCACGCAAGCCACTCCGTGGGCCCGTTTCTCGAAGAACCAATTCAGCATCTTTTTTTTTGAACACGTTCAGTTGGGCTGAATAATTGTTCTTGAACCTTTGCTTCTTGAGAAACAAGAACGCCTCGACCCTCTGCCTTGTTTTTTTCGGCAACCCCTTCGCGCTACTTGAGAAATCAAAGGAACATGTTCTTCCCCTCTTCTCTATATTTATCCCTGGTCTTTCCCTTCTATTCATGTTTCTTTTTCTTGCGATGTCAAGCATGCAAAGTGCAGTGCCGAGTGACCTTCAAGTGCTTGAGGTATGGAAAACCCATCCATCTTTTGGTCATCTTAATCTTTGGGGTCAGTATATTCAAACACGCCGTCGGACGTTGTACACCTACTGGCATTGCCTTAAGGAGTCGTACAACCTGTCGGAAGCACAACGGTTGAAAAACATTTTCACTGCCTTGGTCTGCTTGTTTGGTTGTCTCAGGTTACATTTATCGCTTTGCCTACCATGTCTCAGCGACATTGTGGGCACCCTGATGGCAATGCTGCAACAACAACACGCGTATTTCCAAAGCGGACGGGGAACAGGTTGCGGCCGCATTGCCAGTGATGTTGATGATGTTGCCAACTGGATTCTGCTTTGAGCCAGGGCAGATGGCAAATCCCTTTGAAGGCACTCCTTGCCTTTGCGCTGTTTGGGCTTTCCAAAGGGATGATGAGTGCTTGCAGGGTGCCGTGACAACGAACAGGGAAGACACGATTTTTGAGACCAGCCTTGACACAGCCTCCGGGGTTTGCTGAGTGAAGATTCAGAGCTGCCACTCCAACGTTTGTCGTGAGTCATACCTGCGACATTCCACCTGCGACATCCTGCGACAACATTCCTGATTGGAAGCATCCAGGACCCAGAACCATGACATACCATGACCACCACAGGTCACCCAATAGGCGGAAAACAGTTGCGAATGCACCGCACAGATCACAGCTACGTACGAACAATCATTAACAATCAAAGACGGCTGGTGTCATTTATAGCAACACGTACAGTCATTTCAACTAATTTCATATCAAATTTATAGTCTTCCCCAAGAAGCAATTGAGTTTAGAAACCAATGGTCTTGGGGTTGAATATTGGTCGTGAAAACCCCTATGGTTGAAACAATTGTAGCCTTCCGGAACGAAGAAATGCAAGTTCCCCCTTCGCAGTACATCTCTCTCTACTGACGTGAACTGTATTACGTGGAGTCCCACCCATGCCATCATAGAAATGTGCAAAGCATATGGATTTTGCCCATGAATATCATGCTATAGGAAGAAAGTAAAGGTACTGGAAAACACTGCAAGCCAAAGCTGGTAGCCTGTCCTAGTATTTGTATCTATGCAGCCATTGGACAATTGGACGAGCAGTGGTTGTGTCTCGTGAGGGGTTCGCACTTGCTGATCATTTAGAACATACTCAAAACATTCGTAGATTGAACAGGCAATGCACCAAGACAGGTCCTTTGTTGAACTGATCTGAAGATCTTGGAAACGAACAACCGACTAGAGTTTCCATATTGATCCATATTGAACCAATAATGCCTGGGGTCAAACCAACATAGAAAACTCCCAAAGCCCTCAATGCAGCTGTTGCCCCCGCCGTGTTGTTTCCATCCCGGACGATTGCCCCTGTGGACGCCATGCCCCCGCCCCGGGCCAGCCGCCCTTCAAGGGCTGACATGTTGATGTCAGGACACCGGGGGTATCAGCTGTATCAGATAATATCAGATGCATCACGCCATGTTTGTCCATTGCAGATTTTGCTTTAGGTGAAATCTTGAAGGAAGGACCTCTTGATCCTTCTGCCATGCTCACAGTGGTGTGCATATGAATAATATTGAAGAATGATGAAACATGACAGAATGTGTCTGTCAGTTTTTTCCCTTTTTTTTGGTCAAAGACTGCAGTTTCGCGGTTTGCAAACTTGCAGGGGTGCCGGAAGACTACATTGATGCCCTGTTGGATGAGAAATATATGGAAGACCTGATAGCTTCTAAACAGCACCAAGCAATCCGCAGTCAAGGAGTCTCGAAGATTGAACATGACCGTGGTATCTACAACGAAGATGAACACTCCTATGGTGAGTTCATTAATCTGATCTGGTTGTCTGGAATCATTTTATTCTTTTTGGCGCATACATACAGTCCAGTATCTATGTACAGACAAAGATGAACACATTTACCTTAAAGATCCTTAAAGACGATTCCAAATGATTAAAAGACTTTAAGATGTTTTGATGAAGGACAGAAACATGCACATACAAGCAGGTTTAAATCTTTGTGGGCAGGTATTAGAACATCCTTTTAGATCCTTTTAGAGCCAAGGCTGCTACCAACAAGCAGAACCTCAAGAGAGAAAAGAAGCGAAATCGAGAAGATCGTTTGCAAAAGGCGGGTGCGGAATATGCCATGCTGTAAGGCTCAGAGAAGCTCAAAGTTCAAAGTATTGAAATCCAACCTGTGGCACCACTTGGTAAGTAGTTGTGAACCGTATATTATATAACAACATGAGAATATAACCCAGTGTTATCATACCATGATAATTATATACGTAATATATACGTGTACATATATATATATATATATATATATATATACACATATATTACGAAAGCCAGCTAGCTGGCTAGTTGCTGTTTGCGAACGAAGTGAGAATAGGGGGTGTGGGGGGGGTGGTTGCCGAAAGGGAACGAAATCTCGCCGTGCCCCTGTGTTGAGCGCCAGAAAACGGAGCATTTTGCTGGATTATGTACCACTAGGTAATTTGCTGACGGTGGGGTATCGATTCCCCCTAGGTCCGCCTTTTTGGTGGCCGGAGAGACCATGAGGATGTATTGGAAAATACAATGAAACTGCAGGAAAACATGATAACGATCAGAGGAAATCGTACAAAATCCCCTGGAAAACGGACGAAAACGGAGCGAATGCTAGGAACAAACCATGGAAAATCCCTTGGAAAATGGAGGAAACCGGAGCGAATGCTAGGCGCAAACCATGACGATGCAGTAAACATGCTGGAAAAATACAGTGAAAGTGCAGGAAAATGTGATAACAACGAGAGGAAAGGGTGCAAAAAGGATCGGAAAATGAAGGAGTCAGGTAAAACTCTTGGATTAATATTAATATTGAAAAGGTATGAAAATGCAGGAAACCAGAGGAAATGGTGCAAACACCTATGGAGGAAAGAGGTGAAAATGATAGGAAACATGTAGTAAAAAAATGCTGGACAAAACATATTGAAAACCCACGAAGAGGATGTATTGGAAAATACAATGAAACTTGAGGAAAACATGATAACGATCAGAGGAAAATGCTAGGAACAAACCATGCAAAATCTGTTGGAACATGGAGGAAACCGGAGTGACTGCTAGGAACAAACTATGACGATGCAGTAAACATGTTGGAAAAAGACAGTGAAAGTGCAGGAAAATGCGATAACAACCAGAGGAAATGGTGCAAAAACAATCGGAAAAATCAAGGAGACGGGTAAAACTCTTGGACAAATACATTGAAAATGCAGCAAACCAGAGGAAATGGTGCAAAAAGGAGACGGGTAAAAATCTTGGAAAAATAGATTAAAAATGCATGAATAGACTGAAAACCCACGAAGAGGATATAGAAACTGCAGGAAAACATGATAACAATCAGAGGAAATCGTGCAAAATCCACTGGAAAATGCTGGAAAGATACAGTGAAGGAAAATGTGATAACAACCTGGCAGGAAAATGTGATAACAACCAGAATAAAGGGTGCAAAATCTGTTGGAACATGGAGGAAACCGGAGCGACTGCTAGGAACAAACTATGACGATGCAGTAAACATGCTGGAAAAATACAGTGAAAGTGCAGGAAAATGCGATAACAACCAGAGGAAATGGTGCAAAAACGATCGGAAACTGAAGGAGACGGGTAAACTCTTGGAAAAATATATTGAAAATGCATGAAATGCAGGAAACGAGGGGAAATGGTACAAAAAACCATAGAGGAAAGCGGTGAAAATGGTAGGAAGCATGTAATAAAAAAAGCTGGACAAAACACAATGAAAATCTACAAAAGAGAAGAAAGTAACCACAGGAAACGGTAGAAAAAGCAGTGGAACCTGGAAGAAAAGTTGTGACAATATTAGGAAAACGGTGTACAAGCTAGGAAATGCTTGTAACAACTAGAGGAAACGATGTAGAAAACAGTACAACATGGAGGACACGCGTGAACATGCTAGGAGGCATGTAACATGTTAGAAAAATACAGTGAAAACCTAGGAACATGTTATAACTAAAAATGCTTTAAAAATATAGTGAAAACCAAGACAATGTTAACGAGCGGAAACGTTGAGCAGGAAATCCGATTTGGTTTCTGTAGATAATGTTAGATGATGAGCAATGTAGTTTGGTGATAGGAAATAGTGGCTGACTCGCGTACAAGACATTGCCATGAAACCTTGGAGCAAGATGCGGATGGTATAGGAAAAAAGATGTATGAGTTGTAAGATTTAAGAGTTGCATGGGAAAATTGGTTTCATGGTAATCTGTGTGAAGTTAGAAAAGCGTGATTTCGTTCACAGAGTAAGAAAAATAAATACAATCTGCAGATTAGAGTATTTATAATGCTTAAAGCTGTTTGGCGTTTTTTGGTGCCTCCCTGATTCTGGTAGTTTTGTGATAAGAACTACAAAAACGATCTACTGGTAAACGGAAGGAATAGTCTTTCCGGTTTAGAACTGAGTCGACTGTCAAGTGATGCATAGGCTCCAGGCCTCTGGTTATTGTCACAAAGCATTGGAATGAAGATTGCGCCCAGGAGCCACCTAGGTTAGGAGACAAATGCTGTAATATCATTGTAAGAGGCCGTACTGAGAAGGCTGAAACAGAACTAAAAGTGAATCTTGTACTAAAACATCGAGAAAGAATTTGAATCTTCTAATGGCAATGACGGGAATGATATGCATCTGTACGTCCGTGATAGTATGTGTGCCTTTTAAAAGGGATGTTTGGCGAGGGTGATAGCTGAGAAGATTTTCCGGGATGCCAAACAATTATCTCTATCGATGTCAGGGATGATGCTATTCCGCGACATTTCCTGTAAAATACCTATTTTCCAGACCCTTGGGGGGTGGGGGTGGGTACCCAGGTCTGTAAATGGCCTAAATATATATACTTTTGATTTGGACTGCATGTTCGCCACTGTTCTATATTTCCCGTGGGTTTTGCATTGTTTTCCTCGATTTTCATTCGTTCTTATACCCTTTCTTACGTATGTTATAATATTGTCTTGGGTTTGCACTGCCCATTTTGCGAGTAGAGCTATGTTTTGATTTCTCACCGTACGGCCAAAATGTTGCGGAACTTCGCGGAGAAGCATGGACCACGATTCTGGGGAGAAAACAATTTAGACTGTGAGAGGTCACATGACCACTGTTCACACAAAAAAGCGGGTATTATTTATCTACAATAGGTGGGAGCAAACTTGCGCTGCTTTAAGATAAATGAGCAACCAAAGGCGGATTTACGGAATTTGAGACAGAACTTTTCACAATGCCGCAGTACATTGTAGGAAACATATTTGGATATAGAAGTTACAAAATCGTGGAGTTTACCCTAAAAAGGTCCATTTAATGATTGGAAAATTATGACCCGATAGCAATTGTTGATGTTGGGGCGCTTCATGTTTGAGCCATGCCATATGGATGAGGTGGAGTTTCACGCGCCCCCGCGCGAGTCAAAAAGCAAGCGCTGGCTTTCGTTCCACCCCTTCTCAGGTATATATATATTATATACATACGTATAATATATATATAATATATAATATAATATATAATATAATATATATATATATATTATACGTATATATATATAGATATTATACACAGATACATATATATATACACATCTGTTGGTATTCATGGCATCCCAGTTATAAGTTACTATGATAACATCATGATCATTGCCCACTTAGCAGTTGGATCCTGCACATCACCAGGTGATTCTGGTCTTTCTCATTTGCCAGGCGCTGACATGTCACCAGCAGGGAAGTTTATAAAGATATGTCTGACAGCATTTTTTCTAAAGATATGTTCATCATAAACTCGAGATCATTGTTGATGCAATTTCTGGATGTTTCTGGCTTTTGGCCAACTGTGCATTTGATTCCATACTGGGTCATTGCAACTGCCGAAAGCAAAACTGGAACTTTTGAAGAGAAACAGGTGAAATTGTGAGGAGACAGTTGACTGATCCAACCACCTAATTATCTAATTCATCTAGTCATATCATTATCTGTCATAAACATCACGTAGTCAAATCTTTCGTTGCAGGCAGTCCTTGGTGTGGTGGCTGGGGCCTTGTTCTGAAAAAAGTTTGCCCCCACATCCCATATGATTCATCATTGCGGCCAGTAAGCCATTGCCACTTTCGCGTCTCCCATTTTCACACACGTCCATATTATTCGACATCTCTGACAGGTTTCTGGGATTTTTTTAGATGAACAAAAGGATGAAACAACAAGCAAACACCACCGGTGGTCTCTCAAAAAATACCTCGCTTGGTGAATTTCCAAACTGAAAAACTGTAGGCACGGCTCGGTAGTTCTGCACATGTAGTTTCGATATGAGGCGATATTAGTGTTGGTTGCACGATTGCTCTGAACGTTCTTGCATGGACAAACAGTAAAAGCAGGGCTGGCAATGGCAAATGCTTGTTTTTTTTGTGACTGTTTTGTGGATGTGCCATCAAATCTAGGATATCTAGGACTCCACATCTGCTGAAAACAGCATGTCTTGAGGTCGCCCTCTACAAGACGTACTTGCAACCTGATAAGATCATCAGCGCCTTTGTCACCATGGAGAACATTGACATGGTGCGACGGTTCCAGCGGGCTCCCAGACCAAGACCAGGAGGTAAACGTCAGGAAACAACAGCAACATCAACAGCAACATCAACAGCAACATCAACAGCAACATCAACAGCAACAGTCGAGGTTTCCTTTCCAAAATCCTGTTGAAAGCTGCTGTCAGAAACTGCCGAGTCTCTAGTCGTCTCTCTAGTCGTCTGGAGTGGTGAGAACCGTTGCCAGAAAGCCCTGTGGAGTTGATGCCTGGCTTTCTGGCTTAAAAGTCTTGGTCCGAAAAAATCCGCAATACGAAAGCTCTTAGATGTCTTTTGCATGGCTGGTCACAAAGCTGCTCCATAGCAAAGGCTCAATTCTATCAACCGCAACATCCAACCTTTTTACAAGAAGGTTTTTAAAGTCAAACGTTCGAACAGATTCGAAAAGTGCCCCAAAATCAACAGTTGATTCTTTTGGGTCGAAGGCGCAGTATAGTATAACATCTAGTATAACCATTTCCATGATTTCAGAAACCTTGACGAGCTATCCCCAGCCAGGTGTTGATGATGGATACTTCCAACCACATGAAGGAGCGTCGCGACCAGCAGCAGGATGCAGGGACGTCCAGGAAGTTGAAACGAAGTCGACCCTGAAGCTTGAAAACACCATTTGCGGTATGAGATAACTGGGCGCCCCTGCGGATCTCAGGTTGTTCTCAGATTTTCAGAGGACATGCATCACGTCACTGCCTCAGTCGCTGATATTTTGCATGTGGTGTGTCAGTGGCAAAAGACGAAGCATCTCAAACTTGAAGGAGTTGGAACGCATCAGTTCTCAGTAGTTAAAAGGCATGCAGAATTCATACTGACTTATTAGCATTTGACAACTGCTATCAGATGTGTTGATAAATGTCAATAAAGTTGCCATGGTCAAATTATACAAAGGACAGGGTGATCCCCCATGAATATCTCCCCATCAATTCCCCATGTTTGCAAGAACTCGGTGGCAAAGTAGTCATGGATTTGATATGATCCTGGGATGGGATTTTCCATCGTATTCCAGAGCATTACAATCCATAACATTGTACAGCCTTTACACATCATATCACAGAATTACACATATTTAAACTTATTTACACTAAAGACAAACGGGGGGGGTTCTTGACATTTTTCAACCACACAAACTGCCTTATCTCATGCTATATGACTCTATGTGCTTCGCTGCGATGGGTTCCTAAGGCCATGAAACAGCAGCGAGATCAGACCTTGCGAGAGAACGTGGAACGTGTTGAGGCCCGAGACCGAACTGGGGGACTGGGGGTTGGACCAGGGTTGGAGATGTTGGGCCCAATTCATGGCTATGGAAAATGGGAAAACGATGAACTACCTTGGCACCCTTTTTGGAGGTCCCATAAAATGGAGGATTAAGCTCACAACTGGGTTCCGGCTGTGGAATTGCAATAGATGTGCGTCTGCAAAGCAATGGATGCCATAGGCTGACTGGACTCTTGCCAATTGCAGGCGCAAAGTTTTTTCTTTCGGATACACATGGCAGATCATGGCAGTTTCACTATGTTTCACTTAGCCGTCCTTTTCAGGCAATCAAGCGCAAGCAGACGACAGCATTCAGCAGATTTCTGAGCCACTTCATCAGCACCAAGGAACAGGAGGCAAGTCGGACCGGGGAAATCGCTGTGAAAAATGGAGAAATGATGCTTTCAACCACGGGGGTTGGTGTATTTTCACCTCCAAATCATACAAAATATATTTGTCACTCTTGTGACAAACGACTTGGAGTGTTGCTTTAGGCTGTTTCCATTGTTGCATGTTCAAATAGTAAAGGCTCGTTTGAACATAGTAAAGTACCCCAGAATGGCAAGTTTCATGGAGAAAATGATGATAAACCATTGAATTTTGGGGTAGCCTATTTCGGGACATACCCGGTACTGATTACTATATAGTATCCCCATACATCCCCCTTGATTGTTGATGGTCAATATTTCCACATGTCACTGGTTGATCGCTTGTCATTTGAATAGACCCGTAGCACTGAACTGAATAATTAATGAAGTTTCAATATCACAACATTAGATACCCATAGATACTTCTTTTGGAAGATGTCAATGTCTTTCTGGTCAGTCAGATGGGTTTGTTTGAACATAGGCTTCCCCAAATTTAATGTTTTTTCATCATTTTCCCAATGAACATAGCAACATATCCAATAATAAGATATCAGACAATATCAGACACAGCCAGATAGGGGACTCTCGCCCTGCGACCTGGACAGGACAACACGGGTCTCTCAGGTGGAAGGCGAGACAATTTGAGAAAGAATAGGGAAGAGATGGGAAGAGAACGAGAATCCAGGGGAAAATAGGGAGTGGCATGGAGTGGCCTATTTTCAAGACAAATTGACATTTCTTTCATTAGCTCTGGAGTTCAGAGTCACAGATGTCACAGGTCAGAATTTGCTCGGCTATATTCTGAGATGGTCTTTGTACTCAATATTCAGCTGTGTGGCACATTGTGGCACCAACGGGAAGAGGCTGATGGCCACTCTTCAGTCACTGGATCCCCAACGTGGTATCTCTCCCAACTGACAGGATGACTCAGCATCTCCGAACATAAAGGAGCCGTCTCTGAAATAAAACCCAACAACCTAACAACAAACCAAAACGCCCCAAACGCCGTTGCCAGGTTACGCTTTGCCACCGGCATTTTCAATAGGAGCTGAAGGGAGAGGTATTGGATTGAATGGGCCGAATTGGGAACAAAACCATTTTGTGACTGTTTTTTAAGCTTCAAAGGCATGAAGAATCTGAGAGCATCATGTTCATGTCCTTGCCGCTGCTTGCTTTTGGCTGAAAACACAGTTCAATTCTGATCTCGGCACCAAAATGCTTGGAGGTCCCAAATGCATCAACAAAAAGTGAAGAAGTGGCCCGTCACACACGTTCTACATCTCAAGTCTACCACAAGTCCCACATTGTCTGGCAGAGGTATGAAGGGGGTAAACGGATGTTGGAGACGATTTTTCAATCTTTTGGATATGCCGAATTGAATTTTTCAATCCCAAATAATCAATGGTGGGTATTTCATGGTATTTCAGCATATCCCCAAAAAGATCACAGGGTATACGGTATACATATCTATTACATCATATTATATCCCAACATGATCCATTTGAAAAAAATTGGGTATCCAATAAAACCCAATCATCATCCATTGAGTTCCAGTGACGCCGTTGAGTTCCAGTGAGCTTCCCGTCCACTTCGTCGCGCCCCTTCCCATCAGCTTCCTGAGCCTGTGGCCCTGTGGGACTCTCAGCCGAAACGCGTGGCTTTCGCTGGGAAATATGGGAAATCCCCGCACGAAATGGAGGTTTTAATATGTTTGAATGGGGAAGTCATCGAAGTAAATGGGAGATCTATGGAGATCTTATAGCCATGATGTTTGAGTACAGAGAGTATATATATATATAATTACATATATATATATATACACATAATACGTTCTAATACAGTGTGTACCGTGATATATCCATACGAATCAAGATAGCCTATACCTACAATACATTTACTGTACATAGAATACACAGAAAAAAAAATACAAGCATGACATACAGTGCAGTGCATACTCGCTTCACACATTACATTACATTCCCTTATCTTACATTCCCTTACATCACGTAACAATACATATTTGGGTAAAGACCAAAGACACACTTCCAATATATATATATACATATATCAATATGCGTACACATCACAGTGATAATGATAACACCAATAATCATAAGAACAATAATGATAACACTAGTAACAACAATAATGAATCTTTGTATAATCATACATATATACATGTGTATATATACATATATATATATATATACACACATATATATATATATATAAATATATATATATAAATACACAAGGTGGCATTTACTATAGAGGTATATCACACCTGGGGTGATCCCCGCCGACATCGGACAGGTCTGGGCTTCGACCAATGCCCCGCAAGTCGAAGGTTGCGAAGGTCCAACAAGCGACGGCCTTTTGGGGCTTGGAGTGATGGCCGGGGTGGCCGTTTTTTGGAGGGTTGACGGACAAAGAAACTCAGGACATTCATCAACAAAATAGATTGAATATATTGAATGAGGAAACATATCACATTTTTTGGGGATTGAATTGATTGAATCAAGAAAACCATGGATTTAACCAACAAGAATAAGCTTTTCATCAGCAAACTACGCGTAACACCGGAGATTGAATCATGGGAATATGGAGATTGACAAATCAAACATGGGGATCCAGCCATGAACAATTGTGGAAACGCAATTGGTGATTTTTGAGGTGGGCACCCATCGTGGGCCTTCCCCAGTTGCAACCAGAATCCCAACTGCTTCAGTGATCCGCCAAGCAAAATGCTATAAGGCTATATGCAGAAGTAGCTAATGTAGCACATGGCACATAAATCGCTAACACACCTTGCTTGTCACATTTTTCACAGTTGTCAGAAAGGAAGAACATCACAAAGTCAGTCTGAAAGCCAGACATGTGGGAATCAAGCAAGTTTTGTTCGCTTTTGAATGTGAAGTGCTATTTGCTATTTATTTGCAAATTTTTATTCACCAACCCCCTATCGAAAATCCTATCGCGGCCCTGGGTTCGACCAGTTCGACCTCTCGACGATCAGGGAGCTGCAACCCAAAAAGACCGCTCACGCTATGAGCAACAGTTTTTGAAAACACAGCCTTGCTCTTTCTACGTCACTGGGCTGCATCTACCAATGGCTACCAACTTAGATGACCATCTTTTTCATGTGCATCCCACGATTCGTAAGTGGTTTCTAATCTTCTTATAACCCATATACTCCCATATATAAGTGGGGATATTCCATTTAACTATAACAGGGGGTAAGGTATAATCATTTACTAAGTGGAATGCACCGCCAAGCAGTGAACTCTTTCAAGCGAAACGTTTCAGAGGAGCGACTGGAGCGTCGTGCAACCTTGAGGCAAAAGGCAAGTGCACCCGTGGTGATCAGTGTAGCTTGGAGAAATGCCAAGTGTGCAGCCTTTGTGTCTCGAAATGAGACGAAATGAGACTACACTCTGGTAAACTAACATAACCATGGAACATCACCATTATTCATAGGTAAATCAACTATAGATGGCCATTTTCAATAGCTATGTTAGTTTACCAGAGGGTAAGTACCATGTGACGGGGTGGTTTGGAATTTCCACATGTCAATTTTGAAGTTGATGAGTCGATGGGAATTGGGCAGCGGATGGCAGCGGTATCCTCAAAATCAGGGAATCAAAATCAGGGTTTGCTGCGGGGTCCCAAGACGCCCAAGAGATCAAAGAATAGAAAATTACAGGGTTTCATATTCTTCAGGATTTGGAAGGGGAACAACCTAAATTGAAAAGCACGTGCATTTGAATTGAATTACATGGCTTAAACATGTTGAAACTTCTTCTCGGGTCTGAAGTGACCTGGTCCGCAAATTCAACTCCAGCTATTGTTATCTCCAGCTCTCCAGGCACCTTTGCACACGGAGACGTGGAACTCCAAGCTCTTCCAGATTTGTCGAAGACCTCACTTTGTCAGGACTACGCAGAATTTGGCGCTTCTCGTCTTCAGAGATACCAACAAAAACACATGGGTAGTGTGGCTCGGGCGCTCGGGCTTTCTTATTGGGGCACCAGTGGACCCACAAGTGCCTGATCATTCTAGGAGGATTTCATCCAAACATGGGGCCACTTCAAACAGAGACCACTCTGCCCTGGCCCGGATATGCCCGGATTCTTGATGCTGAGGCTTGCCATAATCTCAATTGTTGCTTTGCGCACCTTGGCTTCGTGGATGATACTAGAACACATTTTTTTTCCGTGGAGAGAGTAGGAATTAGACAGGGTGAAACTTTTTTAAAACTTTTCTTGTCCTAGTAGTCAACTTTTTTCCTTTTCCATTGTTTCCATTGTTTACACTTTAGTGACTGTAGAACATGAAGACGTTTCCGACAAGATGCTGGGGCTGTCCCAAAATTTGGACCCCTCCATCCTCTTCCCATGTTCGGACATGTTTTATCATCACATTACCATACATTCCGCTAAAATGGCAAGGCATGGAGTGGAAGAGCTGCGAGCTACCACCAAGCAGCACATCTGCAAGAGTGGGGAAAATGACCAGCAATCATGTTTTTTTTTTTTTAAATGAATTTAGGGGTACACTGCAAAGCATCTTACAACATTTTTAGATAGTTATAAGTTATAGACAAATTTCTAGATATTTATAGTCATCGGTAACCCTTTGGTAATTCAACCTAGCTATGGAACATGGCCCATTTATAGATAACTTACCTGTTAAAAATGCTGATTTTCCCTAGCTATCTGTTAAATTACCCGAGGGACGGTTCTTCCCGATGGGGGTTCTTGACCATCAAAGTGGGTTTCTCATGGTTTCTCCATGCGGCAATATCCCAATAAATGGCCATGAAAATAAGGGAAAACTGATGATAGATAGACATTGATAAACCATTTCGATCCATTTCGTATCTTAGTATATTTCTGGACAACCCATCTTTTGGGGGTATAGTAGAGCGTGGACAGTCATCGACCCTCTGCCACCCTTGCAACGTGAATGTGGCTGTTGTGACTGACTCACAAGCAGAATTGGACATCATATGTCTTATTGTCAGGATTCCCATTGTGGGATGGATGACCATACCCCAAATGCCATGTTTTGAGCATGGCACATGTGGGGTAATCTGTGCACATTTGATACCCAAACATGGGATGGCGATCAGCCTTCTATCAGCGACCCGATCAACTTTCTGAGGTTCTACAAGACCTCTATGTGACGCTTGGCTCAAATTGAACCATGAAGGCATATGTAATCAGAGCCTTTTCGTGAAATTTTAGGCACATTATATAAGTTGTATCTAAAAGGTGGAAACCCCAAAATTCAGCTGTCAAAATTTGCACCATTCAAGAGGCAATTTTGACGCATCCCCCACTGAGACACATGGGCATGCTGGGCCCATAGGGTTGACCAGTTTGGCATGCCAGCTGGAGGTAAGTTTCATATGATGCGCCAGTGCAGAATTGGAGTCTATTGCAAGGGGCCTTGGATCAGGGACCGTTCGAGATGGACTGGTATGTGCTGTGCCAGGTGGCAAACCACAGTGGATTTTGAGCTGAGAAAACTCAAGTACTGTGAGTCTTCTCTATACTTGTACTACCTTCATGCAAAGTTTGGAAAGTCAGCCAGTGCAAAAACAGTCGATACAGTCATGACTTAGGTCGCCATGCTCACGACGAATCGGAGTTGCAGGAACTACCCACAGAGGCCTTCCAAAAGACACAGGAGCCCCCGATGCAAGGGAGGAAACGTATGGAAATGTCTGTGGAAATGTATGGAATTTGACTGCATCACCACACTTTTGAGGCAAACTTGGCTCAGATTCATCTGGCTGAGGCGATCATTGAATATGATTTGGTGGGTTTCATCTACCTGGAATGATCATCCCCAATATTCCCCACCATCTTTCAGGGAGTCGAAACCACCAATCATCAGTGATGCATCTGTACAGGAGGCGTGTCGACGACTCTAGTCACTGTCCCCAACAACAGTTTCCGAGGCTAGTTGGATGAAATCGGAATGGCTTAAAACGCCACCCGCACATATGCGCGCGCACGGTATCCCACTTGTAAATGGATGAACTTACCAGAAAGATCAGTAATAACACATATCATACATTACAATACATTACAATCAACTATAAGCAGTTATAAAACATGTATGTATAATACATACTATATAACAACACATATACATAACAACACATATGTATAATAACAAATAGCATGCATGCATAATAACATACTGGTATGTATGTACATACGTATTATACAAATAAGTGTGTATATATACACATATTGCATGTATAGTATACAAACATATCAGATTATGTATATGTGTGTGTGTGCACACACACACACACGTATGTATATATATATACACATTATATATATATATGTATATATTAAAGGCAATATACAGTACACAAGATAGGCGGGGCTTCCTGTGGTGATTCATGTCCAGGAGGAACTTTTGGAAGAGCAGCTGTTGCCATCCATCCTCCGGGAGTGTTATTCCGTGAATCCCAGGACCAGCTGATTGGGGATTCATGGGATTTCATGGGAATAGCCTCTGGTATTGAAAAACACTTTGCTATGGAAAACCACCATTCCCAAGAGGTAAATGACCAAACTAAATCGGCTTTGTTAAAATACCCGATGGTTTACTGTGCAGTAACGGGGAGAGATCGGAGAGAACCCCTAAATAGTGGCTGGTTGATGGTCAGAGCTTGGGTCTTCTTCTACTAACTGGTCGCGACGGGAATTATGAACGAATCGGAGATGGGAACAACCACTACCAGAGTTTCCCACTGGTCACTTACAGGAACGACTCCCTTGTTGAGGTTTTGATCTGCCAATGACAGAGAAGTACCAATCAATCTTGTATGGCAATGATTTGCTGCATAATGCGGGAGCGGATGGCACTGGGACCACGGTTCTTCAAAGCCAGGATTTGCGAGCCCTTCAAAACGCAGGCCGCAAACAACGAGGGCACTTTGGATTCGTGTTTCAATCTCTGCGAGGGCCCTTGAGTTGCAACCAACTTTCTCCCCATCCTCCTTCGATTGACCCTGCAACAGAACATCAAGATTCACCTCTGGTAGTCAAACATGGCTGGCTGGGGAATCCCCTGTAAATGGAGGGGTTTCAATTGACTCTTAGACCTGTTTTGCATTGGTTTGCACTTTTGGGGTCACCCAAGCTGGCCAAAAATGATGAGCCCTCAAAGCTTCCTGAAAACCACGCATGGCCCAGACAGCAGCATATGGCGAGAGGTGCGTGGGAAGCAGCTGTGACGGGGGTTTCTTTTGAAGCAGTCGCATGCATGGTTGGTCAGACAGCTCTACAGAGGATACTGCGATACTCTTATGAGAATCATTTCCATCTTAGTATATATTAGTTATTCTCAGGTGATCAAATGAGGTGGATCAGAAGGCATTTTCAGCTGGTTGTTTGAACATCTCTTCTCTTTTAGTCTCCGCTTGGGTGGAGTTCCAGAGCGTTCCATATCATCTCCGCTAGAATCAACCGTCGTGTGTATTTTCGTGTTCGTAGGAGTCAATTATGGTGGAGATACAGCAGCGCAATTTGTAGATATTAATGCTAAATATCTGGTGTTTTGGAGTAAATGTACGAAATGTAACAATTCATGGGAGTCAGCTTTGAAGCAGGTTTGGTATTCACGACACGGCCCCGCACATACATGGTTGGATTCAGTCCGATCAGAAACTTGGCCTTGAGTGCTTAGTCTGATGCATCACGTAGATACCTGCGTGGGCAAGTTATTCGAAATCAGCATCCTTTGCATACTGGCAGTTTGTCATTGTGTGTCAACTTGCTAACGCGGCAAAACCAATTCTTGCTTTTGCGAACTGGGCTAGGCAAGTCAATTTCATCGTCATGTTTAAACTCAACATTTTTTTTTTATGTTTCTGGTATCTTGTGGTGCATTTTACTGTGCGTGTTTATCATTGCTTGTCCCCAACCATTATGAACAATTTTAAAGCATTATTCAAAGGAAGTTTAGTTAGAAAACTTCCGAGTTATGCACGATTGTCATGCTTAGTGTGAATGTACAGTCTTGCAGCTGGAGGTTGCTAAACGCAATGTAACAGCTGTGCGCTACTCTTGTGCTTTGCGGAATTGCAGCTGGACGTTGCAAAACGCATTGTGCTGTCTGCGCCAAGAGAAGAATTGAGTTGCAGAAGCTACAGAAAAGGTAGCTGAAAGGCAGTTCAGAGCAGAAGTAGCCCAGATAAATGGCTGCTCAGAGAAGAAGTATCTGGGAGAAGAGGTGCCTCAGCGTAGAGGTCGCTTAGTGAAGCTCAACAAAGAGAAGTAGCTCACCCATCCATGGATCCACCCATCCATCAACTCCTTCATTCGTTCATTCGCTCATTCACTGATTCATTGATTCATTGGTTCACTGATCTGTTGATTCTTCATTGGCTGATTCGCTGATTCTTTGATTCACAGATTCGTTGTTTCACTGAGTCATTGGTTCGTTGTTATTATTCGTTGATTCGCTGATTCACTCATTCATTCATTCGTTCGTTCGTTCGTTCGTTCCTTCGTTCGTTCGTTGGTTCGTTGGTTCGTTGGTTCGTTGGTTCGTTCGTTCGTTCGTTCCTTCGTTCCTTCGTTCCTTCGTTTCGTTCGTTCGTTTCGTTCGTTTCGTTCGTTCGTTCGTTTGTTCGTCCCTTCGGTCGCTCAATGATTCATTGATTCAGTGATTCATGGATTCAAGGGTGCATTCATTCATTAATTCACTGGTTCATTCGGTCAGTTGTGCATGGATTCTTTCATGCCATTTCAGAACATTGGCATCTCAACCACCATTTGCTCCTTCGTTGATGTACCTCACAGCTTCAACAGTTCGTTGCTCCTGCATCTCAACAACTTTCCTATAGGCCATCATCTTCCTATAGTTGTTTAATTTTCGAAACTTCTGCCCCGGCGCGGGCCGGGCACTACCTGGTAACCATGATTATTATTAACCGATCTTAGCTCTTACTAAGCATTATTTTCAACCATTAAGGACCACCCTGGCGCCGGGGAATGAAGTGTCTGAAGTTCCGTGGGGTCTCCAGCCGCTCGGTTCTGCAAAAGGGCAGCGCCCAAGAGGCAATCCTCTGGAACGGTTGGTCATCAAAAAGAAAAACATGGGGATTATGATGAGGATAGAATATAATGTACTTATCATAATATATATATATATATTATATTAAATTATATCCTGCGAAACCCGAGTGCAGGAAAAAAACGCGATGGACCATCTTGGTTTGAAAAAACGCGATGGAAAACAAAAATTGCGATAAAACCAAAAAAATGCGATAAATGATTTTGCCAAATTGCGGCACCCACAGCCTCGTTCTCTTTTAAGTCTGGGCACCATGGATTCGGAGAATTGGTTCTGTGGAAATAAAAGATAGAGAGGCGGGATCTTGAAATTCTTGGGCCATGGCCACACATGCCGGAAATGTTGGTTTTAAAATGGTTGAAACATATGTCCGCAAATTTCCGCGATATTCCCGCAAATTTCCGCGATATTCCCGCAAATTTCCGCGATATTTGTGTTTTGTTTTTTTTTTCTACAAGAAATATGTTGCAAACCTGTTTTCAACTGTTGTGAGAGTTTAGCTCAGGCATATCACCCAATTTTTTGGGATTGCCTTTTTCATATCTTCAGCCAAGATTGCCTTTTTCATATTATGTAATGGAAAGGGCGGCCAAAGCGTGTGAAGAACCTGAGAACACCTGAAATGACCAAAAATTGCGATATTTCAAATTTTCAAGCCTTTCCCATCCCGGATCTTCAAAAAGTAGGTTTTGTTGAATATCACTTTTTTTTCTGGCACTTAGGGCGCCCCAGGTATTATATAATTTAGAATAGCCGAACATATAATTAATGGTTGCGTCTGAAATAAGATTTTCGTTACACATCCCATGGACACTTAAGCCCGATGACATTCCCTGATGCAATTTGATGCAAACACAAAAGGTCAGTAAAGGACATTCATCCGAGAATTCGTTTCCTCAAGGTTGCGAACTACAACCATTCACGCGCGTGTGTTAATACGCACTGATCCTTTGGACCTTGTACCAGCAAGTGCTTGCAACTCGCTAGCTAATTGTTTGAAGTGTTTGTGTTGCTCAGGGTTGCTCAGGTATAGTACATCATATGGCAGAACAAAAAAACATTAAAATTATTTTTCTTGAGATCAGTGACGGGGCAAAATTCAAATCATTGTGCTGTCTCTAAGACTTGTAACCAGGAAAACGCTTGGCAGTTTTTCAATTTTTGAGTGCAATTTCCCACATTTTTTTCAGACGTCACTTCCAGGTTTGTGGAGAGCGCAAAGATCATGGAGCCGAACATGGAATGCATACCGACCATCCGATTATGAAATGGTGCGACAGCAACGAGTCCAGCTAGAGGATCCTAGTGGCGCCCTGCACATCACCATACCTGGACTCTTTCCTTCAAAAACCTTATCTTCACCGCTGAACATCAGTGAATTTGTTTGAACATGGGGGATATGGCAATTTTTGAGAGAATGATGATCATCCATTTGAATGTCCCACATTTTCACACAAACCCAAGTACCTCTGAGTGCGGAAATCTGCGGCGTTATAATTTGATAAGTAGTTATAGTTGGCCACCTATCATTTTTAAAATCCACTTCCATGAAGGCAGCGGTTGGTAATTAATGTTTAAAGATGATCCAAGTTGGCATTCAATTGCATTTTCCAGGCCTTCAGCATTGTTTTTTTTCCCGCTTTTGTTTGCTTTCAAGCAGCACGATGCGCTTCATGTTTCTGCTCTACGTTCTTTATTTTATTTATGCAGCTCATCTCGGAGGCTAGAATTTGAGGAGTAATTCATGAAAAAAAACATGAATGCCGACAGAACAGAACTTGCTTCTCTTGAGGCTTGTTGCGGGGGTATGTCTCCCGCCTGGCCACATCTCGCACCCTTCACCTAGTGAATTCATTTGTTTCTAAGAGCCCGGCTGGTGATGTTCGAATGTTCGAGTTGTGTTTGCAGACACGACTTCCTTGCGGCATCTTGCGGCTAAGTATGCGATTGCAAAGCATGCTTTGTGCCTTGACGGTCCGGCGGGACAACGGCAAAGGCGGTGGAATATGCCATGGTCGAAACTTGGATTCCATAGCCATATTGAGGCAGGGTCATCAATCCATCGATAGGGATGTATAAAATTGTATAATAGATTATTTCCTAGTGTAATGAATCCGTCATTTTATGATGTGCGGACCGTGACTAGCTTTAACCATCCTACGTATGGGTTTGTCCATATATCCAGCCGCCCTCAGCGACAGTTGTTCGGCCAGGCAGCTTGATCGCGATTAGCAACAAAAAGGGGACAGGTTTATAGGCCATCCATGATCACTGGGAGATCCTGATTCCAGATGAATGCCACCAAAACCAGCAGCTGCTTGATGTTTGGGCCAGCAAACATCAGCAAACACTGGAATGAACCGCAAGCTGTTCAGAATCCATACGAAAAGATGGGTTCTTTGCAGCCTTCCAGTATTTGTAAGCTCTTTCCGCTGTGCGGACTAGGACCAACATCATTTTGAAGGTCCATGTCGTTGCACTTGACATCCTCTTGGATCCTACTGAAAATGATCTCGCAAGGCCAGTTTACCATAGGAACTTTCTTATCCGCTTGCCCGGCCAGAGATTGACAATGCCAGGACCCTCTGTGTCTTCCATTTGTTCTCTCCTCAAAATCCTCAAAGGATTCAAAGACTCTTTCCATGAAAATTGGCCCCTGGCCCCGATAGAGAAACCGAACTTTGAAGACTGTACAAACATGTACCGTGCAGGATTCTGGACATGCATTGGTTGAGGCTGGATGGTTCTGACCAGCTTTCGGTAGTGTTTTGACAACACCTTTGAACATGAGATGTGCCACTCTCATTCTGAGCAAGCGGAGCAGAGCTGTATGAGCTGGGTTGCAGCAGGTAGTTCCAGGATGCTTCCACACGGCTTGGCGCAAACGCAAGTTGTTATCTGCATCATGGCGCTATGACGAGGTTTCGCGGTGTCTAAGTATATGTATATAATTGCATGTATATATATATGTATATATATATATATATGTAGCACAGACATGGACACATTGGACCACTCTTTTTGGCACTAGTTTTTTTTTGGCACGATCGTTTTATTTTCTTTCATTTTCTTGGGACGTTTATTTTACGTTTCCTGATTATTTTCACAATAGGATGCATGGTCGATTTTAGACCACGTGTATGCACCAGCATGAATGCTGCATAGTACGAAAGATGTCCGTTGCCCAAGATGTTTGCAGCCCATAATTGTCATTTTGTAGCTTCAGCAACAAACAAGGGGCGTCCCTATGAATGAAATGGACTTTGTTTGGAACAGAACCAATTTTTGTGAGTCACTATAATTTTTGTTTATTTAGATACTTCATAGATCTTCATAGCATTCCTACCTTGGCTGATGTGGTGCAGCAAGTGCATGACTAACCTTACCATTGAAGGCGATGTGTTCGCTGACTGTCCAGTGTTTCGTCCCAATCCCCAGGCGCCCCAGGTTCCCATGGTGAAGCACTGCAACCTGGCTGGGGCTGGTCCCTGACGGTTCCTTTCGCTGTGCTAGTTAGCTGCACGTTTTCTTTGTGAAGCTGAAATAAGCTGAAGACTGAAGACATCCCAGGGCACGTTCAGTGGTTTTCGGAAACAACAACAGACATTGGAAGCTGTGCTGCTGTGGATGTTTTTGGCGACCGGGTTACTGGTGTGAACGTGTTTTATTTGGCCAAGAGTTTGATCTAGTGACCATACTGTCAGCCTGGGCGTCTGCTGTCATCATTTCTGCTGCGCACACAGATGTTTCATGATGTTTCTATCTGCCAGTAATGATCTTCTGGAAAGCCTGCAGGATGAACTGACCCCCTTCCGAAATCTCTTGGCAAACTGTCAAGTCGGATTCACGTGTTCAGCTCCAGCGTTGTTGACACTAGAAAGGAATAAGAATCTGAATTCTGAACTACGCTGAACTACTCTGAACTATGCAAATGTGGTACCGGGTACACCATGCCTGCCATGCCACCCTTTGTGCGGGTGTTCCTAGATGATCCTGCAAGTGAGCAACTGAGCCGCCGCCGTTGAAACATTCGCA